CTCTCTCTCATCAATAAAAACATATCCTCAGATGAGAGAGAACAATTCAAAAAAACAACTTCTGACTCTTCTCCACTACTTCTGCCGCCTCCCCCAGCCCCTCCAACATCCTTTCCCTTGGAAACGGCCTCAGAGATTCTGAGAGGTGCTTTCCTTATGTCTGAGCCTGCCTGTGTGGGAGGAAGCTGAGGACGTGAGGGTACTGACTGAGAGAGCATGTTGAGACCCAGGAGCTGTTGTGCAAGAAGAATGGCAAATTATATAAGGAGGGAAACCAGAATGGGGTGGTGGAGGCCGCTATACATCAGCGCTTTTTAACCCTTTCTGGCTGCAGGAAGCAGACAGCGCCAGGCGCCAGGGGACGGCTGCAACGAGAGACTTTCTCATAAATGGTTTGTGCCAAAGGCTTTGAAGGGAGGACGGCACTGCTCCCTCCTTGCCCTTTGAAGACAGGCTTTATACTCCAGGTAAAACTGTCGGAAAAGGTAGAACAGCTCCTAATCTAGGAAATGATTCCTGTGGGAAATCAGGCTGCTTTTCAAGCATAATTTGAAAAGCTGCTGCCTCCAAACTTCGGTGGTGGCGGAGAGTGGGGGACGGTGGGGGGGGGGTGGCGTGCAGAGAGAAGAATGCCATTTATAAAGCAATCAACGCTTCCACAGAGTCAGCCATCACTCAGAATTATTTTCTGAAATTTGGCCTCTATTCCTTACTCTGGAGGAAAGGCAGTACGGGCGTTGCTTCCAATCAAGGCCGGCACAGAGGCTGGGCTAAGTCACACAAAGGGAGAGGGGCCCCGCGCTGTTCATCACAGCTGGAGCTGCGGAAAATTATTTCTAGGGCTCCTCAACTCTCCGAACAAGCAGGAGGAAGCCTCATCAGAGGTTCCATTCATCTCACTTCTTACTTTTAAACTTTAAAGAACATATTTATGTGCCTCAGGTTGCCCATGAACCACGGCACGTCAAACAGTTTGGGGTTGATGGAAGAGGTACATTTTCTCGTCCTGGGACTTTCAGAAACACATTTTCTTCGCCAGTGTCTCTCCTTCCCAATTTCTCCTGTATGCCGCTACGAGATGAATATTCCTAAAACGCTGCTTTCTATACATTACTCATCCGTTCAAGAACCTTCCAAGGCTACTCCTTGATCTCTTAAGGTCGGGATCCTCATATTGGCAGTCGAGTCCCTCAGTAAAAGTGACCTCTAACCTCTAACACGCATCCTCCCTGACTGCTGGGCCCCCACACCCATCTTGCCCCACGAATCTCGGGTGGGGGATGGATGCTTGCCAATTTAGCCCCTCCCCACCCTGGTAACCAAACGCAGCGCTGCCTTCTCAGGGGAATCGCTCCACTGCAGCTCTCTCTCCGTGTGGTCTGGGTGAGCTGGCCCACCCCCCTGCCTCCAGGTCTGCTGATGAGAGTGCCCTAGATCAGGAGTCCCCCCAGACTAAGGCAAAAATGCCCCTCCTCCTATTCTGCAAGGCCTTTGGGCTAAGATTAATTTTTTTTCGCTTTTAAAAGGTTGTGTAAAAAAAAGTCAAAGAAGAATATGCCAGAGGGACCCTATGGCCTGCAAAGCCTAAAATATTCAGTAGCTGGCAGTTTCCAGAGACAGTTTGCCGGCACCTGCGCAAGGCTGTGCTCAGTGCTGGGCAGAGAATCAGCCGAGCTGCGGAGGGCAGTGCCAGGGCTGGGGCTGGGGCTGCCCGGGGAAGTGCGCACTCTCCTAGGTTTGCTCACAGACAGCATAGAAGCCTAGAACTAACAGGTGGCCATCCTCACACTTCACAGACAGGCTGCAAGAGAAGACGGCCAACACAGGGAGAGCAGCATCAAAAGACGGAGGTGGCAGGGGATCTGGAGCCAGCTGGGCCTTTTGGTTATGAGGCTGAGATGTTTTTCTCCAGCCAGTTTGAGTCGGGTCTCTTGTCAGTTGCAACTGAAGAAGTTCTGATGAGCACAGATATTGGCGGCCGTGGCCTGGAGCCCCAGGGCATGCTTTCTTCCACGTCTGGAAAGCGCTTTGTCCCCTCCATCTGACCAAGTCGGTCTGCACAACCCACCCCAATCTCACCTCTGCTGTGGTTTCCCCCTTCAGCTCCTGGATAGTTTGGAGATTTAACCATCTACTTCCTCAGCTAGAACTGTCTGGAGAAGGATGCATTGCATCCCTAACAAAGCCATGAGCAGTAGGAGCAGTGGGAGGATCTACAGACACTACTGCACAGACGCCTCCCGAGGCAGCCACCCCCAGGGGCAGAGGCAGCAGCGTCCCTTCAGAGACAGAAAATGAAGTAAAGCGCAGTGCCCAGAGTCACGCGGTTACTAAGGGGGAGACTCGGAAGTGAGCTCCAGGTCTGGTGCGCTTCAGATCGCCCTTGTTCTTCCCACCATATGGTGCCTCCTGAGACCATGTCCACCGCTTCCCAGGACCCCTGGACCCAGCTCTCCACTTGCCTGAATCCTCTGATGCCTGTGGGTCAGAGCTTGAACATCTCACCCCGAAATTCAAGGCCCGCCCCCGTTAACTCTGAGCTCCAGCCAACCCACGACCCGAAAACTCTGAGTGAAAAAGAGAACTCATGGCACCAGCAGGTTTTAACAGGGGGAAATGATCACTTTGTGACGCCTACATTCACAAGGACGACATTGAGTCAGCTGGACAGGTTCAAAATTAAAGTTGCCTGAATATAATAACTGGAGAGTCACTCTAATTAGTTTTTTGTTTTTTTTTTTAATCAAGTGCAACAATCTGCCTGTAGGAGTCCAAAAGCAACTCGGATGTGACTGAGGAAGAGATGGGTTTCTGGAACACTGTGGCAAATCCTGCCACGCAGATTACTCCTGGAGAGCTTCCCTGGAGCCTCCCCACATCCTTTCTACTGAAGCAGAGGATGGGTGTGCCTGTCCCCTGCCTCTGTACACCAGGAGCCCTGGGAAGGCCCGCTGCTTTCATCGTACTGGGCGCTGGTAACGCTCCGCAAGGCAGGCACCTCTGACCTGATTGCTCGTCTGTCAGGATCTGGAGATTGAATTAGTCTATCACTGTGTCCTTAGTGGACTTAGGGACAACGCTGTGAATCCCTTTACGGCCTCAATTAGAGGGCATTTCCTCTCTTTCCCAAAGAAAAATGATCCCAGATTTTTAAAGCTGGAAGAGTGACTATCTTTCAGGGGTTCTTCATCTGCGGTCTCTACAGGGTCACACATGACCCCTGGAACTGTGCATAGAATTCTGTGAGGTCAGCCGAGCCGACCCCGCAGATGAGGAGGTGGTGCCTGCCTGTGGTCTCGCAGAACGCAGCCCTCCTGGGAGTGACACAGGACGAGGAGGAATGTTTCCAGGGAGTGGGTCCCCAGATTTCATCAGATTCTTGGGGGGAAGGGAGCAGCAAACAGAATCCCAAAAGGTTAAGAGCTGTCCCTTCATGATGCTGAATAAGTGTGTGTTGAAAAAAAAAAGAAAAAAACTCTCCCTCTGGCTCAATTCCTCTTCGCAGGTGGGAAAAGTGAGGTTTCAAGAGAGGGAGGGTTCCCCAGACCACAAGCCAGGCTGCTGCCACCTAGACCCGAGGTGGACACCACATCGCCCTTGCAGGAAAGACCCTAAAAGGAAATGAGGGGCCCCCTCCAGAACTGGCTGGGGAACACTTGCCCCAGTATGTCCCTGTGCCAACCACCTTCTGGGGTTTTTAGATCTTGGGGAAGACGTAAGCTACTGGAGAAGTGAGTTGGACAGTAGTGCCTCCCACGCATCTGGTGCGGGAGCATTCTTCATTCCTGGGACCCTTCGGCACTGTGTGTACCTAAATTTACATAATCTATATGTGTTAAATCACCCAGCTAGAAATATTTATCCTGGCTTTTTTACAGGAACTCCTTCAAGGTTATGGCATGGTGGGTGACGGGAAGGCTCCCCGACACGAACGCTCAGGCTAAAAGCCAGCCGGCGTGGGGGGCCTGGCGCGGCCCCGCTGAGCGGACCGAGGCGAGAACCACCGAGCGCTGCCCCGGCACAGGAAGAGATTAGACGTTATATGCCATCCGATGGACGTAAACGACACCACCTGTGGAGAGGCGGTGCCAAAAAACAAAAACAAGAAAGCCCAACCTGATCAAGCCTCCTGTTCTGTCTCCCCACTCGTAGGAAACACAGGCGACAGCTGTGCAGCGACCCCTGCAGGGGTGTGGTGGGTAGTGCAGACTGTGAGGACAGCGGCTGGAGGGCAAAGGGCGGCGCTTCCTCCCGGCACAACTTGCAGGGAAAAGGGGAGGGGGAATCTATACAAGAAGAGAGATGTATGAAGGCAGGGGTCCCCAACTCCCGGGCCACGGACCAGTACCGGTCTGGGCCTGTTCGGAACCGGCACAGTAGGAGGCGAGCTTGAATGTAACGCACTTGAATCACCCAGAAACAATCCCCCTCACCTCGGTCTTCGGAAAAACTGTCTTCCACAAAACCAGTCCCTGGTGGTAACAGGGCTGGGGACTGCTGTAGTAAGGGACATACTGATAATAGCAATGTACATACCTTATGTGTGTATGTACTGACTGAACACAGTCTTAAAGGACCATTGTTAAATTTTTAGGTGAGATAATGCTATTGTGCTTGGATGTTTGAAGAAAAAAAAAAAGGTTTGGATATGACATTTGGGATTTGCATGAAAACAATGGGCAGGCGCGCAGGATGAGGCAAGGCCGGGCCCTGGCTGGCAGGTGCGCTGTGCACACCTGGGGCATCAGGATACTAGTGCCCAGTCAAAAGCTACAATAATTAGCCTCCTGCTTAAAAGAAATCCAAAATGTTGTCACAAGTGCTAGCTTTGGGGGAGAAAACCCAGAAGTCTGGGGAATGGGAGACTGACCTTTCATTGTTTGTTTTGTGCGGCTTGGATTTTTATCTCATGGTTCAGGATTGTCCATTCAAGAACATACACTCATTTTTTAAAAAATCACCCAATTTATATAAAAAACTTCAAACTGAACTCTTGATCATTCTTTTCATCCAAGAAGTGTCTTTATTTCATTCTCTTCCAAGAACAGGTGAAGTGCAAAGAGTTAGTTCCACTTCATTATTCGAGGCGAGGGAGGCGTGTCTGCGATGCTGAGCTGTGTTCTGAGGACGCCTGGAAGCGATGCCGCCCCGTGGTCCTCGGGCCCTCGGTGCGCAGCACAGGCCTCCGCCCGCCGTGCCCTTAAGCTCTCTGGTGTGTGTGTGTGGGAGGGGCGGCGGGAGGGCGGGCGTTTGCTCTGTGAGGCAGCTGGGGCCTCAGAGATAGTAAGCTAAGGAGTTAAGCCCTTAAGAGCTCCCAGACAATGTCATCTGAAAACACCAGGTATGAAATGTAAATAACAGTCAGCTACTTTCCTTCAATCCAATTTCTAAGCAGTTGTGTGATCGATCAATTTATAAATCGATCGGCTGTCTAATCCACCTTCGCAGTCTTCTCTGCGGCTGCCACCGCCTTTGGCTGGCCCAGTGCGGTCAGCTCCTGCCCACGGGCAGGGGAGGGGGGCCCGGCGCAGCTCCCTGCAGCTCCCGGAGCAGGAGGAGCACACTGGCCGTGTACGGGTTCTGCTGCCCTGGGGCCCCGCGCAGATGCACCGGGTACAGGGAGGGATGGGGGGGTATGAACTGCTCAGGGCAGTAAAGTTCGTGCAGGAGGAACCAGGTGGAGTCCGGGTCTACCTTCATCAGGTGGAGGAAAACCCTGTGGAGAGAAGGACAGCAGTGAGGGGGGATGGGGGGGGCCCACAGGCAGGGCAACCTCCCAGTGTTCCGCCCAAGAGGCTTCTTACTGGGCTGTTTGAGGAAAAAACTGCTAAACCATCAAATCACTTGAATAGCAGAACAAACTCACTTAGTTCATAGGGCCATTTGGATGGTCCCAACACCTAAAGGAAATAGAGGGAAAGAATTTCATATCCCTTGACATACAGAAAAATTAATTAGTCTGAGCAGAACAATGTTGATGCCAAACAAGATCTTGGCAAAGAAACTGGTTAAGTTCTGGATGTAAAGCAGGAGCTTTCAGAAGGAAGAAAATTGACCAGCTCACCCTTCCCAACAGGCTCCACTCAGCTCGCAGGGCCAGCCCCAAAGCAGGCCCCCAGCTCGGGCTCCAGCTCACTGCCGCTCTGGAGCTGACCCTTCCTGGCCACGGGGAGCCATGGATTCTGGGTGGTTTGGACATGCTTGTACAGGGATCAGATTGTCATTCTCCCGGGATGGGACTGGCTGAGGCCTGTCCCGTGACCTTGGCAGGGGCAGGGCACTGACGTGCCACACACGATACCACCACAGCCGGAGAGCCCGGGCCACCTGACAGCACAGACCCGCCACACGTGAGGCTACCTTGGCCTGAACTGTGGGACCACAGCCTCGCCTCCTGCCTGGGACTCCTCACATCCCGTTTCTGAATGGTCGGCCTTGTGCGCAGGGTCACTGCGCTGGGCAGTCCAAATGTCAGCCTGATACACTGGGCCGACTCACTGACCCAGAGTCTGGCTTTTCAGCCCCAGGAAGGACGATGCCCTTCCCTAGCTGGGCAGTGCTCTCGGTCATCCCGGGACATTGCATCTAGGGTCGCCCCTTTTTGGTTTTTCAGGACACTGTTTCCGGCACTTATCAACTACCTGTCTATGGGCCATCTCCCTCCCTCACGACGCAAGCTCCCGTGGCAGGGGCCGTGCCTGCGGCATCCCAGCCACCTAGCATGGCACCTGGCAAACTCTCAACCAGTACGAGTTGAACAGGTTCTCATACTGAATAAGTGACATCTTAGGGTGCACACTAGTGACTGAAGATGGCATCCCTCTCTGGAATGTTTACTTTCTGTAAGAGGATCAGAAGGAGAACTCAACTGCTTACCACCAAGGACTAAGGAACCTTACTAACAGGATTCACATGACCGCTGACATCACTCGCTAAGTGGTTGTGGAAGATTTTTCAACTTCTCTTGGTCTGTTCTCTCATTTCTAAAAATGCAGATGGCCCTGGCTGGTGTGGCTCAGTGGACTGAGCACCGGCCTGAACTGAAAGGTCGCTGGTTTGATTCCCAGTCAGGGCACATGCCTGGGCTGTGGGCCAGGTTCCCCACTGAGGGTGTGTGAGAGGCAACTGATCAAAGTATCTCTCACACATCAATGTTTCTCTTCCTCTCTTTCTCCCTCCCTTCCCCTCTAAAAACAAAAAATAAAATCTTGAAAAAGACACTAAAAACACAGATGTATTTCATTCAGGGTTTTGCAGATGTGTAAACGAGGAAACACAGACCAGCCCTGCACAGTGCCTCCCATGTGACCCCCCATCTCCCAGCTAATGGAGGCAACAGAATCTGTTCGACGGACCCCACTTCTATCCTTAAGAACCATTCCCAGGAGCCTCTCCTGCATAGCTGGGCATCAAATAGGAACTTAAATGCTTGCTAAACAAAGCTACATTCTGGTTTTTAATTATGTTAATCTGAAAGGCCTGTGCACTTTTGCGTTTTTCCTGGGGTTTAATATTCATAAGGTGGAGGGGAGCACTCTGAAAAATTTTCTGGCCTGTTTTGTGCCTAAACAATTTAAGTTTTCTTTACTTAGGATAATCTTGTGTTTATAACCTCAGCGGTAGAAGTGATTAGAATATTCCAATTCACTGTTTCCACTTCACCGCAGAAAGGAGATGGGGCCTGTGTGGGAAACAATTTTTGTTTAAAAACAAAAATAACTTTGATAATTAGAGTGGCAAGGGAAATTAAGAAAAAACACACCCAAAATGGGAAGCAGATTTCTACTTAAACGTGACACAGTTGACAGTTCTCCCTGGTGCCAAAGACTGTTAGAATGCAAATGGTTTCATTTGATTTTCCCCCTCCTTCAACTGGAACGATTTCTCAGGCCGCAGCACGGCACTCTGCTTCCAGGGATATTCTGATCTGGGTAACACAGCCAAGTGGTGCCACGGCTCAGTTCAGTCACAGCTCTGCTCTGACTTACACATGGCATGTAGACGTTGCAACGTGCATTTTCTGAGCCCTTTTTAACATGCTAAATGGGATGCTATATTCCTTGGCAGAAAAAGCCACTCTCTTTGCCCTGTGAGATCTCTAAATAAAATGCTAACAGGGAAGCAAAGTAAAAACGGGTACGAAGTTCACCTTTTATTAAGCAAAAGCCAAACTCTTGAAAGAATTATTTTGGGTCTCATTTCTTAGCTCTTAAAGGCATAGAGTCCGCAGGATGACAGGCAGCGATGAAGTTCCTTCTCCCACCTCTGGGGCTCAGAACAAATTATTTTGCCTCCCTAAACCCATTTCTTCCTCTTTTTCCTAAAGGAAGATAATCACACCCGCCCAGCTCTTCTCACAGGTTTGTTGCAAGGCTAGTCTAAGGAGATGAGGTGCAGGAAAAACACTTTGAAGTGTATAATGAAAACACTGTTCCTTCCAGAAAAAAGGGTGTGTGTATGTCTGAAGAATAATTATCACTACCAACCCTAACACTCTGCCATGCCATGGAAAATTCTCAGACACTCTGAAAAGGGCAAAACATTTGTCTTTTGTCTCACTCAGACTTTCCTTCATACAGACTTGGTGGGGGTCCCAATTCTCAGCCAACTGAGTTTTAATTTTGCCCACTATTTAAGGAAGAAATGAATGCAATACTCCTTGACTCCTGCAAGCCCAGCATCAGGAGCAAATACCGTGACCTGCAACCAGGTGTAGCTGTGCTTTTGCTGAACACCGACAAATTCCGAACCTGGATCCTTGTTCACCGTTAGCTCCTGGGAGCTGAGCCTGAGACCCAGGCCTCGTCTGAGTGCTCAGTGGCCCAGCTTTGCTCCAAACCCTGGTACCACTTGGTCCCAGGCCCAGTTCCTGCCCACTCTGGGTCTCCTGGAGATAGGAGAGCAGAAGACCTCGAAAGCCTTTTCTGCATAACCAGAAGGCAGAAGACAAAGACAGGACTTCTGCTTTGAAGTGATCGCAGTAACTGCCTGGATAATGTTCCTAATACATCTTGAGACATGGCAGAGATGGCTGTTGAACATGCCAAATGGCCAGCTCCATCTTTTTTCATACCCAAGGAGAAACACTTTAAAATATATATATGTACACGATTTAACTTCTGAACAAAAATTTCTTTCTCCTTCCCCCAGGCCCAAATCAGTGGCTTCAGGGAGCACAGTTATCAAGAGATTACCCGGCCCCCAGAGTCCGGGGAGGCACTCAGCTGTGCCCCACGCCTCCCAGTGTCCTGAGGCGAGTGATTATCTCTCAATAACCTGTAGGGCCGTGTAGCTTAAATGATAACTTGACTTTAAAAAATTTAGAACTCGCCGTTAGGCAGTTTCTAAGCAACCTCTGTTTCCATGGCAAAGAAGCCTGGTGTTTATACTGATTTTTCACTTAAAATGCGGTTTTATTGAATTTCACTTCATGCAGGCAGCCATTTCCCTGCATTTCAGCCCTATCTACGATTGACGGGTATCAGTAAGTACCTAATAAACTCTAGGCGCCAAACCAACCGAAGCGGCTCATTCCTTCATGATCAATATCAGGGTGCTCCGGGTGACAAAGCTGGGGGCGGCGTGGCCTGCGGAGGCGGGAAACGTGCTACCAGAACCTGGTCAGCTGAGTTTGGCTCCCATTTCTCGTGGTTCACACGTTTCCTCGCACCTGGCCCACCCGGGCACTGTGCCAGGTGTGTGGAGCACCAGGACGGGTGGACGGACAGACTCTGGCCTCACAGCTCCCTGTCTGCTAGGGAGGGCACACTGCGCAGAGGCCCGGGTGCGATGTGGGGAGGCCGCGCCAGCAGTCACATGTGGGGGTGGGGGGAGCCTGGAAGGAGGGGACAAGGCGAGTTTCTTTCTTCTCTCTAAAGAGGGGGGCATCAGGTGAGTTCTAGGGCCCCTTCCAGCTCCAACAGTCTACAGCAGTTCACGAGCATGGGCACTGGATCGCAGGCTCTGCCCCCCAAATGTGGCAAAAGCAGAAACGCTGTCTGCTGCAAACGCATACATCACAGTGTGTCCTCACCATCTCAGTCTAGACGGCATCTGCTCACAGGGAGCTCTAGAAAGCCACCAGCCAATCAAGACCCAGTAAAGCTAAATAAACTGTAACCAAAATTCAGAGCTTCCAGCTCTCCTGGGTGACAGGCTATTCTTTCTCTGTCAATTACTTGCTTGAGGGATCTGCTGCTTCTTGTCTCTTTCTGGATGTATAAAATGCTCTCATGAGCTGTCTGTGTAAATGCCAGTGATGAAGAACTTGTGGCTTTGTGATCTGTTTGTTTATTTATTTATTTAGGGCTTCTAAGGCAGTTATTCAGGGATGTCTCCTTAGGAACATGATACAGACCGTCTCTACGTGGGCATGACTAAATGCAAATGGAAAATCAACTCACTTGTTGGAAAGCAAGCAGAGTCACAAAGTTATTTTCGCTTCCCTGTTATTCCCTCGCTGGCAGAACAGCCTCCACGCTCTTCTCTTCTCTGGCCATCTCTTTTCCTGTGACTCCACATATGCTGATGCTACAAATGAGGCTGTGTGTTTCCTTTTAAACAAATGGATGCTTGCACTGTCGACGTGTCCTAGCCAGCAAGCAGTGGGCCGATGTTTCTATACTCAGTAATTTACTCTAATGGGTCTTGGTTCATTGGTTAACCAGTATTTCAAGCCTGTCCTTTCTTGCTATTCAATTTAGCTATCTTCCCGTG